AACATGAGACCTCTTATGTCGCGAGTTGGAATCATATTTTTAAATAAATAATTATATATATATATATATATATATATATATATATATATATATATATATATATATTAGTGTATACAAAATAAACTCCAAGAACCAAAATATACTATTCTTATATATATATATATATATATATATATTCTAAATATAGAAATTATTTACCAACCTTGATGTGTTATGTTAAACATTTATTAATCTGAACTTTTCTCACGGAACCCCAGACACTAATTAGCGGAACCCCTGAGTTCCTCGGAACCCACTTTGGGAACATCTGTCCTAGAAAATACCCTGCACATAAACAAGCAGACACATGAAAAAAAATTGATACTGATTTTTTACGCATTCCATATCAAATACCAAGCAAATCTACCAAAAGAAAACAACGATCTCTTCCGAGCTCAGCGTACAGATAATGAAAGGTTGCTATGCCGATGTCATAGGTATTCATACTTGGGACGAGATATTAAACAAAATATCAACATTCTCGGTCAAGTATTCCATGAAATACAATTCACAATTAACCATTCCATATCAGATCTTTTTGGATTTTGGAATACAGGTTATTTAATTTGTATATAGCATCTATAAATTGGAACAGCTTGGGAATAGAATCCAATCATAAACGCGATATCCTTTTACATTTCATAACGCATCTTATATATAAATCCTGAAGGTAGTTTTATATAAATCACATATATTCCGAAAGTAATTTTATATAAAATTTAGTAAATTTTCTGTGCATACAGACACAGGTAATGACGCTTTCGTGAGAGGAATCATCCTTCTAGAAATTTCCCAGACACCATAGCTCGGGACTCAGGGTTAGACATTAGGTATCCGAGGACAGAACAGTGTGAAAAGGGATTGTCAGTGGAGTTCCGACAAACCATAGGGAGGTGGAAGGATGATGAAGATGATGACGATGAAGAGATATGAAGCAATAAAAGAGAGAAAGAGAAATAAAAAAAAATAAAACAATAAATGAAAGAAAGAAAGACATATGAGTTTGCCGGCCATTGCCACTAAGCGGACAGGGAAATTCTATAGCACCCCTTTGAAAATGTCTTCTCACGAAAATTGGCTTCCCCAGATACTATACCTCGGGACTCAGAGTTGGACATTGGGGATCTGGTGACAGTAATACAAGATCGAAGAGTGAGGAAAGAGATCGTCAATGGAGTTTCAACCAACCATAGGAAGGTCGAAGGATGATGATAATGAATAATCACAAGGATTATTAAATGGTAGAATCAAGATTTCACGTAAAAATAATGTTTAGTCCTTTCTGTGCGTGTACAAAAACATGGTCACTACTTACAAAAATATATATATAAGTTCAGAACTTTTTGACATTCTGAATAATATCTTTATTGAGCACGAAACACCTGGTAAGTAATTCACGAACAAAATTGTTGAATTGCCGATCGCTAACAAAAAGACTGGCTCCAACGTAGGCTATGTAGCTGGGCTGGGGAAAAACCCACCCAGGGCAGATCAGGTCACTTACAACAGATGCACATCATCTAGAAACCTTTCCAGTGCTTTCTGAAATGTCAGTATCGGAAAAAACTTCTTGGATTTTGGAGGTTTTCGGATTTTGGAATTTCGGATAAAGGATACTTAACCTTGTTACAGTTTTTTGTGTATGTATCATGTAACTAGTGAGTTAATGAAAATGACTTAACTCCCTTTATAGTCCACCAATAGGAGGTTAACCAATCAGAACATTGTATCCGTCGTGTATAAAGGCGGCCATCTTTGTTTAACCTACCAGAATGACCAGTGCCAACTTGACAGGCGAAGATGACAGAAGGAAGTACTACGCTCTGCTATTTTGCTGCGATATCCACTGCTAACCTGAACTACGCTTTCCTACTGTCTCCGAAATATTCACTGCTAACCTCTGGATTCTATACTCGAAGACGACCGTCATGAATTTGTAACAAGCCTCTAATGATATTTTAAAAATATGATAAATATTAATAATAATTAAACCTCCTACCAGAAAATTAAATAAAATAAATTTCGAAAAACACCAAATATTCGAATTTAATTCTACGACGGGTATTGCATCAAATCCTTTCAGAAATATCTAAACTCTCTTCTGTATACAACTGGTTTTTAAGATCTCTGCTTAAAAATGGTTCTGACCAAGTGGCACATATCGGTCTTTGTAAAGACCAGACTTCTTCGAAACTTGTGATTGGCGCTACAGAATCTCACAAAGAACTGTACCAAATAACAGAAACCCCATCACTTCAGGATTTCCAACAGCAGCAACAACTAAAATAGATATCACATGTAACTCGAAGAGAAAATAAGGATAGAATCAAGATATTCACGTTCCGCACTACTCCGAATTTTAAAAAAAAATTAGGAAGCAAAACAATACTGGAAAAAGCTATAGCAGCTATTGGGCGTGAGAAAGTTATTTTCCTGAAAACGTATTGTAAGTGAAATGTTTTATAAGATTCAACAGAAAGTGGTACAGGCTCCACGGTCAATGGATGCCGGGTGTTTCTTTGTAAGGAAACAACCGATATTACGCTTACTATTAACCTCTTCGAGGAAATGATTCTGTACTATCATGTAAAAGGAAGTCTTTAGTGTCAGAAAATGGGTCACATACTCCTGAAACAATAGCGTCTTTTTCTCTGTTGGTGATACAAACAGCATCTCCGTCCGACAATTGCTCTTTGCTGATGAGGACCCGAGGCTACTTCCGGTCCTACGCCCGGACAAATAAACAATTTCCTCGCCGATCGTGTTCCCGCCCCACACAATGATCATTTCACTGAATTGGCGATAAATCGTTTCACTTTGTTTTTTCTTGGCAGACGATGATTTTGATCAGGCGATAATTTTCTTGTTTATTATTCAAAGTCTTTATCGGAAAGAAAATTCTTTTTAAAAAACACTTGAGCTGTATATTAGTTGGTATTAAAATATTCTCGCCCCGGCCTAATTCCCAAAATCAGGACAAATATCAAGACACAAGAACTGTTTTTCACAGGGCGCCATGGTCGTACCAAGGAACCTTTCGCCAAACATCGTATAAAATAGGTGAGTTTTTGGCAATTCCCACTACACAACAAATCTTTCATGTATAGATCTAAAATGAAGTATGTATAATTAGTGGTTTTAATGTAAAAGAATTGAGAAAACGGTTGTTTGTGTATATATATATATATATATATATATATATATATATATATATATATATATATATATATATAAGGAGATAGATAGATAGATAGATAGATAGATAGATAGATAGATAGAACAACGCTTGTTTACTTATCTATCTATCTATCTATCTATCTTACTGAAAAGAAAGAAAGAAAGAAAGAAAGAAAGAAAGAAAGAAAGAAAGAAAGAGGAAAGTAAGCCAAAACAGTAGAGCTAGGTATAAACAGGAATAGATAGATTCTTAAAGATAAAGAGACTGATAGATAGATAGGTAGATAGATAGATATCAACAGACTGAGATAGATAGATAGATAGATAGATAGATAGATAGATAGATAGATAGATAGATATGAACAGACTGAGAGAGAGAGAGAGAGAGAGATGAAGACACACACACACACATATATATACATATATATGTGTATATACTGAAATAGACAAATATTGGGAAAGAAAGAAAAGAAGAAAGAAAAGTAGAAAGAAAAGAGAAAGAAAAAGTAAGAAAGCAAGAAGGGTAGGGATAGTTATAACAGGAGTATATATATAGCGTTTTATCACTTATTTCCTGTTTAAGATTGGGTTTCCGGTTCCTTCTAAAGTTTACTCATTCTTTCACTTCCAGTAGCCCCACGCATCTTAGCGGCATTATTGCCTTGCTTGGAGTGAATTTAATAGATAGATAGATAGATAGATAGATAGATAGATAGATAGATAATGAGAAAGAAAGAAAGAAAGAAAGAAAGAAAGAAAAGAAAAAAAAAAAAAAGAAAAGCAAACAAGAACGGTAGTGATAGGTGTAAACAGGATAGATAGATAGATAGATAGATAGATATGACTAGAATGAGATAGATATGAACAGAATGAGACAGATAGATAGATAAATAGATTGATAGATAAATATGAACAGAATGAGATAGATAGATAGATAGATAGATAGATAGATAGATAGATAGATATGAACATAATGAGATAGATAGATAGATAGATAGATATGAACGGAATGAGATAGATAGATAGATAGATAGATAGATAGATAGATAGATAGATAGATATGAACAGAATGAGATAGATAGATAGATAGATAGATAGATAGATAGATAGATATGAACAGAATGAGGTAGATAGTTGATGGAAGTAGATCTTCGCCTAATGTCCTTCCGTTTTTTGAATAGCAGTAGACAGTTATTCCGCATTTCCAGTTTAGGATAAGTTTTCTGGCTTCGTCTAAAGTTTTCTCATTCTCTTTCACTCACAGTACCACCTAGCATCTTAGTGGTATTATCACCTTGCTTGGGGTGAATTGAGTAATGAAATAGATCGATAAATAGATATGAACAGACTGACATAGATAGATAAATAGATAGATAGATAGATAGATGCAAACGGACGGTTGTATAGATATGAACAGAAACAGATTGGTCGAGAGATCTAAATTATTTAACCAGACCTGCTTGTATATATATATATATATATATATATATATATATTTTGCATATAAAAAAATTCCAAGAGGAAGAATCTAGGTAGAACTCAATGTCTAGGACAGAGTAAGGATATCATAAAAAAGGCTTAAACACTAATATTCCATGGATTGTTAGTGTTTAAGCCTTTTTATTATATATATGAATATAAAGATAAATACAATATATCTCACTTTTAGTGCTGGTGTTAATCAAACAGTGCTCGAGAGAGCTTAAGTATATATATGAATAAATATACATATGCACCCCAGTCGTCCTACTGTTGAGGGATAATATATATATATATATATATATATATATATATATATATATATATATATATATATATATATATATATTTATATTTATATAAATAATTTTAGACGTATTATGTCTATTTATTTTAGTTTTAATCTTTTTCTGCAGTCACCAAGAAATTAATTGGCGGACTTGAAAGGATTAAAACCAAAATAAATAGACATAATACGTCTAAATTATTTAATCAAACCTGCTTGAATGAAATGCTGCCTAAAGCTACGGTGACCGGACAATTTCGTACCAGATAATTGCGTCCCTAGAACATGTGATAATTTTTTGAAGTTACCATTTTTTTAAAGGAGTTTTGTAATATAGAAATTGGCACACCAATACCTTTAATTACTCTAAACAAGCAAAATATATAGTTACCATAAATAAAAAAAAAATAGAGAAAAATTTCTTTTTAATTAAGCTAGCAGTTTCAGTTCCAGACATTTAATAGATTCTTGATTTCATGGATGATATTTTTATTTGGAACCCATGAGTAAGTTCCGAAAATCAAATACTGGTGGAAGATATTTGTGGACGGGGAAAATTACAGCTACCACTATCATAAGAAAAACGCCGATGAAACAAAAACATACTGACGATGTATTGAGCGATCTTGAAACACGGTTAATCTGTCTTCGCATTTTAAACAAAAATAAACGTTTAATTTTTATTTTGTTTTATTCCTTTTTTTAAAAATTATGATTACTAACTATACTTTTTTTTCAAAATTTATGGTAACTGCTTTTAAAAGCTTCAAAAAATATCAGAGGTAAGCAATTATCCAGGTAGTTAATTGCCCAGGGCGCAAAAGTCCAGTACCCAACTGTCCTAGAATCCTCCCCCATTTATATATATATATATATATATATATATATATATATTTGTAACGGATCATCAACGTAATGATGATCCATTAGGATAAACCTAGGTTGGTAATTTCTGGTTAACTAGTGTTTTTAGTTTTTGCACTAATCAGTGCGTTTTAACTTTAGTTACTCTGTCAGTGTTTTTCTTTTGTCTAGACCTTGCAGTGCTGATTGGTTATATTTAATCAGTACGGATGTTTTTAGTCTTTTCTTTTTTTATTGATGATATTTTTCCCTGGTATCGATTTGTGCAATATTTTTTATCTACAAATTGTATTATCTGATTTTTTTTTTTCACATCGCCTAGGTATAGATATTAAAAATATATATATATATATATATATATATATATATATATATATATATATATATTTAAGACATTTATATATGTATTTTAAGACATTTTATGTTTGTCCATTTCATAATATATATATATATATATGTATATATATATATATATATATATATATATATAGATAGAGAGAGAGAGAGAGAGAGAGGAGAGAGAGAGAGAGATAACTAAACTCGTTTCGAAAAACCGTTGGATTTTTGATTTGCTAATCAAATCAATCTCGAGGGAAAAAAAAAGGTTTTAAAAAAAGAAAGAGCTACAAACATGAACTTCTGCCGACAAAAAATCGTACAGATGCAGGTCTGAAGCCCAAAGAAAAAACACGCTTTTGAATTTGCCTCGTTAGCTTGACTTTCCCTGACGATCCGTTTAGGTGAAACCTACGTAGGTTTGTCTGGCTCACTAGGTCTATCTATCTATCTATCTATCTATCTATCTATATATATATATATATATATATATATATATATATATATATATATACTTGGAGGCGATGATCAATATATATATATATATATATATATATATATTGATCATCGCCTCCAAGACCTCTTTTGAACAATTTTAAGAAGGCTGCGAAATGAATATCTTGTATCTTCAGGCGAGATATAGCATCAACAATACGTAATTTTTTATTTGATCGGGCTTTTGAAAAGTTAGATTTCCGAAGGAGCTTGCTGCTTTATGTAACGTCGCAAGGAACCGATCATGTGTGTTGGAGAATAAACCGTGGGTGAGTGACCACGTGTTTAAAACTCACATCAGTAACAGTTAAAATCTGTTACATCCAACACTGACCTTGACCGAAGTGCATTAAGTTTGTTTCATTTATATAATTACATCTAGCAATAAAATTTCAGCATACAATGATTCAGCAGCATGTCTGCTAGATGTTCAGACCTAAACGTTATTTCGTGTTTATCTTTATCATTTTGTTGTTGCTATTTAAAACAGACTTATTGTTATTACCCCTCTTGTCGTTTCTTTCCGGGTTGCTTTGCTGGGGGCGTTTAGACGGAAGCGAAACAGGGTCCGTGAGATGAGGTCAGGCTTCGCCTCGGCAAGAACCGTGCTCTTCTCTCCTGTACTTGCTTTTCCTCCCGGCTCTTCAAAGGAAGGAGAAAGAAGGCGGACGTCGGGTTTGACGCAAACGCTGACAGCTGTTAATGGAAGGATATATGCGAGTCGTGTGGGCGACTCGGTCGGTACATTGCAAATATGGTGGCAGAGGCTTCCAGCTGCGAATCCTACAATAATGGCGGCGAGGAGTGAATGCAGTTGCGAACATCAAGAAAGAGAAATCTATATATATATATATATATATATATATATTCTCATGAGTAATTTTGTGTATCAATATGTGTTAATGGGTGTCTGTCTGCAAATTGTTGCAAGTTGTTTTGGTAAGTTTGTCTGAATCTAATATATATCAAAAACAATGTCTGTATGTCCGATAAAGAGTTGCCATGTTATTGCCTTAATATAAACAATTAATTATAATTTCTAATTGACTGACATTTCTTTCAAAAATTATTATACATCAGAATTTATAGAGTTTTAGATGGTACCATTCTTACATTTTTTTAAATTCCGTACAGTTTAGGTACGTCAGCGTGCTAGGCTATCCGCCGAGTCCTTTGTCTTTAAGCATCACGGCTAGAATCCACCATGCTATGTACATTGTAGGGAACCGCTTCGCCCCCTCCGTATTCCATTGCTGTGATCACCACTCGAACAACTTCTTTCTGTGAACCATTGTTTTGTGGAACCAACCCCACAAGAGGATGTTTCCCCGATGACTGTAATCAACCTGTTCTAGTATAGGCTTAACTGTTTTGTCCCCCACATATCCTCATAAATTGTATCTTACTCTCTATCTCTCTACCTTGAGTGGCTCCCAGTCTTTCTACAGGGCGAACCTAACTGCAAAATAATACCAGGTATTCAAGATATAGAAGTGGTATGTCTTAGGCTTCGCAACAGTTTTGAGTTCCGAATAATCATTCTACGAGAGTCACCTAGAGCTAGAGCGATAACGCTATTTTGTTATTTAACCCATAGATGGGGAGTTGGTAAATTCACTCATGCCTTATGCATACGTACGAAAGTGAACATAAAAAGATTAAGACGATTCCGCTTTTCCACAGCGAGAAATGTTCCACAGAACCATTTTAAAAATGTTAAGAAACAAGGACGGTAGATGTTAAAGGCTCTCCACTGTTTCCTTTTCTTTATCGTTTGTGAATTGCTATGCGTTCTTAGCAATATAATCCAGTAGATTCCTACTGACTACTCTACGGTTTTAAATTCAATTTTCCTTCTCTTAGACTGGTTGCCAGACAAGGCTAGAGAGGTTAGGCTACACTGTTATTTAATAAATAGCTAAAAGAAAACACTGAAACCAAATGTTTAAACTATACATAAAATCTGTTTTTCCTTCTCTTAGACAAGTCTAGAGAGATGAGACCGCCCTGCTATTTAACATATAGCTAGGAAGGAAAAAGTTAAATTAAATATTTAAACTATATAACTTGCATTTAGGAAAATAAAAACGCTTAAAAGTGTATGGTTTGTTACATACCCTTGTGTAAATTAATCAAAAACGAATAATTCCATTATTATTTAGTTCTTTTTTTGTATTTTTGCGATAAAACATAACCCAGAACACATGTTAGTACTTCTTATAGTCCATTCCACGAAGTCGTTCCTTGCAGATTGACCACAGATTCTCGATTGGATTTAAATCAGGTAGATTCTGGCCAACGACGGTTTTAGATTTGCTCACTGGTAAGGCTTGCTAATTTTTTCGTGCAGCGTTATAATTTTTCGTACGCCATCTTGGAGTAATGTCCATCACAGACAATGGTCGTAGGACAACTAATCGACAGTCGAGACAATAGTGTCCCGGCGTGATAAAAATCTTATACAATCACATATCACGCAATATTTTCAAGGCCAAACTAAATTCGTCACACGCCCCGTAAATAAATTCATATTACTGCACACCACTGCAAATGACCTAATCTCAGAAAACAAAAGTAATTGATTACGCCCTGTCACTCCAGAGGGTCTAAAACTAACTTTATGGTGAAAGAAAGGAAACTGAAGCGGTTGTTTCAATTAATTTGAACAAGGATATAGTTTGACTGAGATCAAATTTTAACAATTTCAAAAGTTAATTATTTGCCCTGTGGCTGGGGCATATACTATATTAACTTCACCCTCTGCAGGAGGGTAAAATCTCTCACTAGAGGGCGCTAATTACAAAGTAAACGCGCACAGACTTTAAATAGAAAAGAACAGTTTATCTTTCATTGAATCGTGTAAATAAATACGACCATTATTTAGCATAAGTCACACGAAAATTGAACATGGATAGGTTGCATATGGGAGTAGTTTTATTTAACACCACAAGATATTACGAAACCAATACATTAATCTAATTGAAACATCGGTTCCCGTAAGAACACAGACGTTATGCCAGGTTAATAGGTAAATTTCATGGAATACCAGGTGCTGTTTCATTGATTGCATTTAGTAGATTCGATTTCATGGCTGATATTTTATTTAATCCCAGAGCCTAGTTCAAATTCCTGTTTGGATCGTAATATATACTTACGCGCCGTTGGGAAAGATATGAATCCATGTTTTCTCCCACCTGCTATGGATTAATTAGTTAGACTTTTATCACTAAATCCTTATTATCGCCAAAATAAAAAAAAAAACTTCTTATCTAAAAAAAATATTTCTGGCTTTAAACAAATTGCAAAGGGGTGATAAACCGGAAAAAACAAATCAATAAATAAATCAATCCTTAAAATAGGAACTCGAATCGTACTGTTAAATCACCGCGTCAGATCAAAACATTAGTTTGGATGTCATGTGTGACGCCAAACCTGTTCAGAAATATCTTAACTGTCTGCTGGTATTTTTACTCTTAAAATGTCTTTTTAAACTTTCATAGCGTTTCGACCCCAATTTGGAGGTTAACTATTTGACCATAGATGGAGCGCTAACAATTGCTACGACCCCTGGTCAGGGTGGACCTGGGAACAAGAGTAATTAAAAGTTGGTTCAACGCACTTCAAAACCTCTTGATCAGAGGCCTTGCTTTTGGATGTAGTTTATTTTAATCAGTACGGATTGGGTTATAATCTTTTCTTTTTATTGTTCAAATCCTGAAATTTAAAATCCCGAAATTTGAATTATCAAATTTATAAAATCCCGAAAGATCAGAATCCCGAAATTTAAAATCCTGAAAGATCAGAATTCCGAAAAATAGTCCTTGGGGAAAATTAAAAAAAATAATGGAAGTAAAATTATTTCTAAACATTTACATAATAGAGTTTAAAAAGAGTTTATACATTTGAAAAATTGAAATTCATTAAAAGTTATAAAATCATACTTATTATAAAAACCTAGGTTGTTGTGTGTGTGTGTGTGTGTACGTTTATATATTGAGAGAGATTTCCTAGAGATTTTTCAAACTGATTTCAACAAAACTTCACAGGACTACGTAAAATTACCTTGCAGTGGTTCTGATAGTTTTGGAAAAAACAAATTGTTTTTACAAAAATCAATTTGAAAAAAAAATCGATTAAGATGCATCTTCCAGAATGAAAGGGGGACAACTCATCTCGAGTTATACTTATAAAACCCAGGTTGTTTGTGTGTGTCTGTGTCTGTTTTCGTTTATATATGGATCGGTTTTCCTACATTTTTCAATCTGATTTCAACAAAACTATTTTTTTTTTTGGCAGGTAGTGTTATATATTGTCTTGCACACTTTTTCTTTATATTTATATTCAGAATGCTTTTAAAATACCATTTACAAGACAATTGTTTATAATAAAATTCTATTCAATCGGTAGACTCATAACGATTGAAAACAATACGTTTGTTTGAGTTTGGTTTGACTAATTCGTAAAAAACAAAACAAAAAAAAACTTGCTAAGACATTATGTCCTTCAACCTTAAACAGAATCTTTGTCAATTTTATTTTTCAGTCTTTATGATGGTCGATACTTGATCTATCTCTTACTGTTACATCATCGGCCAACGCCGGGCTCTACTGCTAGTCAGAATATATAAACAATTTATGATGAAAGATTATGAGCAAGTGCCCTAAGATAGTCCATAAGATCTGGTCGGTTTTTACGATCGTTAACTATAATTTTAAACCTTTCATCACAACAAAGCAAACATTTTTTTTTTCTTTTTAAACAAGACTCTGCTCGAAGAATGCGTTCACATTCATTTTCTATGTTCGGCTTCGTTTTTTGAAACTTTCATGCGATAAACACCAACATGAGCCTTGCCTACTAAATTTTCCCATCGCCTAGTCGCCATATGTTTATATTTTTAAATGGCATTATTAACATTATTCGGACTATAAAGGGGAGACAGGCCGCCCCCTTAAGGTAAGGCTTCAAGAACACCAGAAACCTGTAACACGGTGGGAAGTGGAAAATCATGGTGTCTGACCACATATGGAGAAAAACGAAGATAACCGCCCGATGTGGGATCATGGTTGAGAACATCAGAAAAGGAATCTATACCATTGGAAAATATATAAACTTATAATCAGCACATATTTTAGGCCATCAAAAAATGAGATAAATACAATATTGGGAACCAGTAATAAGGAAGTTTGCCAGAGAAAGCGATATAACAAAAAAATGTTGCATATGAGCTCTGTTAAAACATACAATGATAACAGCAAAAAATTTCAATATGACATTTCTTTCAAAACATATAATGATAACAGCAAAAATTTTAATGAGCTCATTTTTTAAAACATTTAGGTACGTCAGCGTGTGCTATAATGATAACATCAAAATTTGCAATATGAGCACTGGCAAAATGGTTGCTGAAGACATTAGGTTTATAATACCCAGAAATTATACACAGATGTCCCTCAAGGACACATGGCACATGAATAAATTGTATTGGTTAGATCTCTCTAGTGACTGGATCCAATGAGTGTACAGTTCAATACCCGGTTACCAGGTATTCAAGGAGATAACTGATAATTTTGACATCCATTAAACATGGCAACAGTCTGCCCCAGTGAGCGAAATAAAGGGTTAAGTTCGACATTCCGACCACCTGAAGAAGGCCGGAGCGTACAACGGCCGAACGTTGTAATAAATATGGAGACAAAGACGAGGATAATAGTCCGAATAATGTAAATAATGTACATAATACCTTATCCCAGAAATATAGACACATTTTTAAATGAATTTTTAATGTTTCAAATGTATAAACACTATTTAAACGCTATTTTGT